GTGTGTGTGTGTGTGTGTGTGTGTGTGTGTGTGTGTGTGTGTGTGTGTTTGTGTTTAAAAGTAAAAGAGGATGGAAAACAGAGTGGACACACCGAGCAAAAGCTCAACCCTTTCCTGATTTCTCTCCACCGCCTGCAGTCAAATCTGAGGGCCCGCTTTTCCAAACACTCATCAATCAGGTGCAGTGCATTGTGGGTGTTATATTGTTTTATGAATCTGGCGTGTCAAAGGGTTAATTTTATCAACATTTCTCCGTTTAAAAAGAGGAATATAATAACAATACRGCTCTGCGAGGAAGGTGAAGAACAGTTTGTTTTATGTGTCATTAGATAAGACCAAAAAAGCAGAACCTGTTGAGATTACGARGCATACCGAAGTGTAAAAAGAGCTGAAACAAGGGAACCTGAGCGTTACTGGAAATCAAATTCCACAGAAATATAATTAGAGCTCATAAAGACTGAGTCTGCATGTGTTGATATGTCAAGGTTTTAAACAAAATTCTTTCTTCTTCTGTTAGAGCTCAAAGGACGTGAGAGTGTTTAGTCTCAGCTACTATCACACTTTACTGCAGCACCTGCAGTGTCTGTTTAATTGACTCAGTTATAGACATTTTTGTGTTTGMTAAGGTTAATAGACTGTGGCGGTCATCTCGAGTTGGGTTAAATCCAAATGTTAATCAGTTGAAAATGTGCATCCAATTATTACTTTCTGAGAGTTTCATTAAAATGTGTTCAAGKGTTCATRAGAAATTTTGCTAACAGACATAGGCTGCGTTTACACTGCAGGTCTTAATGCTCAATTAGGACATTGAACGTRTACATTATGTTTTAAATGCGMCCTCCATCAGACTCCAGTGTGAACTCTCCACAGCACCTAAACAACCCGTGTGTGCAGAAAATGACAAGTAAACGTGGACGCTACTTGTTAGCATGACGATTCTGAATTTCTTGTGCAGTCAGAGCGGATTAAATAAATATCTGCTTGTTTAGTTCACTGTTTACATTTGAAGCTGCCTCTGGCCGGCTGGTCCTGTGCAGCATGTATTTATGGAACTTTAGTATCAGTACAGTCTGACAGAGACGTTATCATATGTTTCTGTGGATTCTCAGTCATCCAGGACATGGAMAATTAAAAGAAAAAAAAGTAACTAGACTTCTCTTCTGTAGCTGAAGATGTGTGGAGCTATAAGATTTAAACTGCATGACTCAAAGTTAGTATCATTATTATTACTCAGATTGATCCGCTCACAAGTGTTCAGGCTGAGGTCGCTTTGAACAATGTCCAATGAGTTTGAGGAGTTTCTGAAAGTTTCATTAACATCAATGTTTCAGTAGATATTTTGCTAACAGAAAGACAAAGCAACACACGAAGAGACACGCAAATATGTAGGCAATAATAAGAGTTCATTAAGACTGTATCAGTGGTATTGACCACTTGTCTTTAGCTGCCTGGACTAAGCTGTGACGCTTCTCCCCTTGAAAGTAGCTAAAAAAAAACCCAGAGAAGAAAAAACACCTGCTTTCAACCTTTATTCTATATCGCCTCCCTACAAATCAATAAACCTCAGGAAACTAATAGATCAGCCAGGTAGTGTTGTTGTCTCCYGTGTGTTTGATAAATGGCGATAATTATCATGATGGTGTTCTTTTCAGGTTTTATTCTCACACAGACTACAGTTTAACTCAGAGCATGTGTGCTGAATTTCAAAGAYGAGCTGCTTTACATTAAAATCCTTCTTATATTGAATTCTGCTCTCTCTCCACTACATCTGTGGCAGTGAACGCAGCATCGATGCAGCTGGTGGAGCAGAGCGAAAAGCCTGTACCMAAACTAACCATAAGTGTCTGAACATGAGAGAACAAAGAGGAAAATTTACTCTTTTCAGCTAATTTTCAAAAAACACAGCATATTTTGAACTTGAAAGCACTCTAAGGGGAGATTTTGACCCCTAGCAGCAATAATTGGTTGTTTTTGAGAAAGGAAGCTTGTTTTATTGTTATGCGCACACAGAGAGAGGAAGATCTTTGTGTGATGAAGGCCATGTCTGTGGTTTTAAGATCTGTAACTGGTAGCAGTCTGCGCCCGTGGAAAGTCAGTCCAGCGGTTCTGAGCAAGAGGAAAAACGGTTTCACAATGTTTCATCCTCCCGGATGCGTTTAAATGTATCTGGGAAAGAAAACATTTAYCACGGAAAATACAACTGTCCAACTTTGTAACAGATCAAAATAAAAATACKAAGAATTTAACCATCGTTGTTCTGCTGAGAACTGTACAAAAACATGTCAAATGTTCCTGGGTCATTATTTTGATGTCAACAGCACTGAGAGAAAACATGGGAGAGTTACCTTCACTCTGATTTWAAAAAAACAACGATTTAAGCTGATTTTCATTTTCAACAACTCACAAACTCTTACAAGCACATGTAAACAAAGCTTTTCTTCAGAGAAAAAGTGATGGATGCACTTTTGACAGATGAGTGCTCCTCTGTGTCGGGTGGAAGTCTTTGCCTCCAGCAGAGGAAGTCAAGTATGGTAAAGAGAAGCAGGAGACGAACTGATGGATCGAGTTCTCGTCTGCAGTATTTGAGGGTGTTGGTCTGACCTGTTGTGGTGAAGGAGATGAGCACTGACACTGGCTACTTTATTAGCTTCATCTCTTCGATTACTTATTAACACAAAAGGCTAATCAACCAATCACAGAGCAACAACTCAAAGCATTATTGTATCTTGTGGTAAAGGCAAACCGCTGAGGTTTAAAAAAAGCAACAGAACAAGGAAGGAAGAGGATTTCAGTGACTTGGCTGATCGTGACAGACGAGCTAACTGGAGTGTTTCAGAAACTGCTGAATTTATTGGATTTTTACACCAAACCGTCTCCAAGGTTTACAAAGAATGATCTGAGAAATGGAAAATATTCACTGGCAAGTGCTGTGTGGATGAAAATGCCCTGTTRACGTTGCCCCATCGATGTGATAAAAAGGCAACGGCAGCTCAAATAATCACACATTCCAACTAAAACTATCTGCACACTCAAAAACCAACGTTAAAGCAGATGGACWACAGCAGCAGAAAACCACAGAACAGAACACTGAAGCTACAATTCACACAGGTTCACCAGAACAAGAGATTCCTCAGTGTCTTCATCTTCATCACATTTTGCAGGTTATTGCTGTTACATGTTGTATGTGGTTCATGTCTGCTTGTTTGCCTTTATTTTATGTTCATTTTATATCTGCTGTAAAGCTTTTGACACACACTGTGTGAAAAGTGATTTTAAATCAAGTTTATTTGATTTGGGTAAAACTGGACTCCAATGACCTGCACAGTTACCAACTGGATGGATGGATGGATGGATGGATGGATGGATAGATAAACTAACTGTTGTTCAAAACAAAAAGAGTGACAGCTTTTTACGTTTTTCCACTAAACACAAAATAAGTTTTCTGTTGACCAACAATCTCTGAGTTTAAAAAGACAATGAATGACTTCCTGTATTTGTGCGTAAACAGTTAAACATAAATCTGTCTGACAACTTGTGTTCCTTCATCATATGTTAGCATAGAAATCCAATCGTATTTCATAGACGTACAACTGATTTGTTGAATAAACGTCAAGAAATAACATGATGCAAAACTTAAGACCAAACTTTAAAACCATAAGACTGGATAAGACAAAACCAGAAAGCATCCCTGTACATTTATATTAAGCAACGTTTTGTTTAACGTAATCTCAGTGAAGGTCAGACTGGCGGTGCGTGAAGAAAATTGTATTTTCTCAGTGTTACAAAGACCGTTTCAGAGGATCCAGTTTTGCTGGGTAATCTTCTCTGATTGGCAGGGAGGCCTGATAAGTCCATTCAAACTGCTGCAGGACGCCGGTGTTTGGGCTGGGCTAAGCTGCCGGTCTACTCAGAGGCTTTAGCCTCAACGTAAGGGGTAGTCAGGAGCTCAGGTGGAAATGGAAGATAATGCAAACAAGATGTAAGTGCAGAGCTGGAGGGCAGAATGGAAGGACGGACGAWGCAGGCAAGACGAACAGAACAAAGAACTCCTTTTTAATTATCCATCATTGTTCGGATCAGAGTGCGTTCTCCTCCCCTGACAGGGAAAAAGATGATTGTGGGATTAAAAGGAGGATTGTGGCATGAAAAGAATGAGAAGAGCAGAGGAACATCTGTCTGTCTGTTATGCTTTTTAAAGTGAGCAGCTCAGGATTCCTGTCAAGGAGCTTTGTCTGATTATTGCAGGAGCAAACAAGGAGACRAGCAGGAAATTAAAGAGTCTAGAAAAAAGATCTACTAAACTATTACCATCACAAACAGTAAAACTAAATATTTTCACATCGTTTCATCACGTGGAACCACAATATCTGGTAAACAAGCTCTTGTAGTGKKTTTTTTTTKKTKTTTTTTTTTGCTAAAAACCAATCTTAGAAACAACTTTTTTTTCCTCGAAAGGAGGGAATGTGCATCGTAGAGGAAATATGGACATTTTTTACACAAAGAACAATAATGAGGTCATAAAGATCATGGAAGGTGAAATTTCACCACAAAGGAATAAAAAGAAAATTTAATAACAGGAAAACAAAACATTATAATCTAAGGTGTTTTGTTTCTTTATTCCTTATAAGGAAACAATGATCCTCTTGCTGTAGCTCAGCAAATTAAGTGAACTAATAATTACTGAGAATATTTATTTGAAAAAGGCAGATAAAATTAGACAAAATGTGACCCATCATCGAACCAAGGATTAAATCATAAAGTGTGGAGAAATTGGTAGATTTGGTGAATTAGTTAAAATGTTTGCAATCATTTATTGAATAAATTTCTTATCTACGGGTTACTTAAATTAAATATCTGAAATATTTTTGAAGCTCTTTTAAACAGTAGCTACTAAAAAACATGATATTGAGCAGAAAAGTCTTAAATTGTTAATTTCCCTGCAAGCTAACAAATCTTTTTTTTTTATTTCCAGCTAAATCCTATTACACAAATATTGTTTAAGGTTTCTTCTTTAAAATGACATAAAATTCCTCATTAGAATAACTTAAAATTCATACCAGATTTAATTGAGTTATTCTGATTAGACAAATTAAGGCCAGATATCAAAATGTGGCTTAAAAAGCCAGAAAGTTTAAAATGTTTTCAGGTAATTTTGACCAAATTTGACTTAATCCTTAGTTTGATGTGATGTGTCACTAATGTTTACACTTTAAGGAAAATAATTAGCTGAATCATTAGAACATAAAGTTTTGTTCAGGTTTTGTAAAAGGAGAAAAATAGAATTCTCATTGTTAAATTTATTGATCTCTTTTCAAACATTTAGACAGACAAGAAAACACAGTGAAACATAAACAGCGTTACTTGTTTCTGATGTGTCGTTGTCGTAGTCCAAAGCCTCCAACACCAGAGAGAAGGATTTCTGAGAAGAAGAAAAATAAAACACTTTAATTGAATATAAAACAGGACAAACTGTGGATAAACCTTTTTTGTTTTGCTGAATGCTGACTCAGCATTCAGGAAGTTAACAAGGCAATTAAAAGTGTGATGTTTTCTGTCTGGTTGTCCTCATCTTCAGCCTTTAACATCAGGATTGACTTGGTTTGTGCAGATGCTGCCATATTGAATCAGCCAAATCTCAACCTGCAGGATGAAAATCTAAAACCCCTGCTAAGTTTTATAGATTTATTTCCCTCGGTCTCACTGTGCCTTGCTCTGCGCTCAGGCAAGATTTCGCAGTCTGCACTGCGGCATGAACTTTAGATCTGAATCAATGGTTTGGGTTGTTGAGTTTTCACCACTTTCAGACAATTCTGTATGTAAAAAAATTCAAAGCTTAAAGAAGAGATAAAGTCAGTGCAGGTAGTCCTGCAGCACAGGGACCGGGCCGCATCCTTAAATGATGACTTTGAGCTTACATAGATATCAGATCAGACTCTGGAAATGATTTTTTTTTTTTTGCAGATTCCGATATTTTTTTTCCTGATGTATTCTTTTATCCTATATCTTAACCATGAATAATTCAGACCAACACTTTCCTCTACAATGCCGTCTCTTTTCCTTCTCTAGTTTTCTCGTTTTTCCGCCTACACATCCCTCCCTGTGTGGAACGAGCCAGCGCCTGTCATGCAAATCACTCCACCATGTGCATTGTGTTTAAGGTTTTCCTAAAGGGCTACATGGATGTGTAGTCACGTCTTCTTTTTGTAGAGGGAGAATACTGCCAGAAGGTGTGTGTGTCTGTGTGTGGGAGTGGGAGGAGGCAGAGTAATGAAGGAGAAGGAGGTGATAGGTGCGGGAGGTGAGTGAGACGTGAAGTGGGGTAGAAATAGATTTTTAAGCAGGGTTAAGGGCAGGAGGGTGGTGGGCAGAGGCAGCGGAGGAAGAAGATGAAGGGGTTGCTGTGAAGGCCCTAAATGTTAGGGGGATGAAAATTGTACAGAAAAAAGTCTCGAGTCAGGGGGTTTTGTTTCAAGTGGAGGTGCTTCCAGTTCCTGCACTGCAACAGAGGAGGAGATGGGAGGAGAAGGTGAGCCCAGGGACTGTGCTGAAGCAGGAAAAGGACAGAAGGCTGCAGGAGAATTACTGTTTATTAAATTGACATGAAAACGCAGGCGTGCTGGCTCCGCGTAGAACAATTYGCAGGACTCCTGCAGCTCGCCAGAGTTCCGGCTGCGGTCCGTGACAGAACGAGACGAAGCAAGCAGATGATGAGAGGAAAGATTCAGGAGGAAACAATACAAGATGCGTGGGCGAGAAGTGGAGGAACTCCCACACACAGAAGCCATGATGATAATGATGTGTACCGGGCTGCACRGGTCACACAGACAGTTCATTAAAGCTGGCAGAGAGTCCACAGACGGAGCAGCTGGAGTCATTTAGCTCTGCCTTTAAACTGACACCTGCAGTGATGTTTGGTGCTCAGAATTCACATCTGAGGGATTCTGCAGCGAACGGTTAGATTTCTATGATGAGTTCGTTTAGGGCTATGAACTAAAAATACAAGAATACATTTGGTTGCAACAAAACTGTCTATTTAGATGTTTGTCTTAAGCAATATTAGCCATGTTTATAGTGCAAATGTTGAGTGAATTCTTTAAAAATTTTGCAAAAGGAAAAACAAACAAAGAAATGTGAACCAGGCGTGTTTTCATCTAATGCTTTGGAACAGGTGCAACTGATGCAACTTACCATTGACGCTACAGTATGTTGCTATCGGGCAAGGTGTAATTGTTCTGTCATATCAGCTATTATCTGCGATGTTACATACTGTCAGGAGACATATAGAAAGAAATTAAATTCTCTTTGCATTATGGGAACATCCAARAAGACGCCGACAGCAGGAACAGCCGATCATTTGTGTTCACTACGTCAGAACTTGTTCAGCAAATGTGTTTCCATCTCCTCTTGTGCGCATTAACTCTTTCGGAAAATCAAAAAAAAAACACATCAAGCGAGCGTAAAAACGTTTTGCAAAATTGAGGAAGTTGTTCCGAATTTTGTCGTTTCCATCAATCTTTTTCAATGCAATACTTCAAAAAGCACATAAAAAACATTGATGGAAGCACGACTATTGATGCAAAGGACTTCTCATTAATGAGTTAAGCAACRATGTGTGTTGCACATTTTAGCCATTTAAAATTCACTAACTGATTTAAAACTGGAACCTGAAGGATTTTAGTGGCAGATGTGAACACTTGTGACTGATTCCGTCAGGTTAGTGCTGTCATAGTCTGTGTGTTTTGATTTTCTTTATTTTTCTTGTATCTGTTCCTCAGAGTCTTCTTGCCATTTCAGTTTTTCCTCCCTCAGTCAGCCTTTCAGTTAACTACTCACACCTGTTGTTGCTCCCAACCTGCTCAGCCGTCAAAAACATTCTCATCTAACCTGCTCTATATTTTCAGTCTCTTTCTCCATTCTCATCAGGTCTGGATTAGTCCCCGTCGTGCCTGTCAGTATTTGGGTCCTAAACCTCAGCAAACCTGGGGAGTGTCAGGTCTGAAGGAGGCATTATTTAAAATAAAGTGACGGTAAAACTGGTGCTCAACACTGAAATGCTCATATGAAGGTAAGTGGTCATAAAAATTCATGTTAATCTTAAGGAAGCTTAATGTTTCCTCAGTAAAAACTATAAAACACAGCGTTACCTCACAGGTGGCCTGTTGGCAGACCCCTTCTCTTATCATTTAACACCCACCCTTCCTTCCATCCACTGGATTCTCCTCTTTCTGCCAAATATTAGCCACGGCAGGTAAAACCCTGGGAGATTCTGTCTTCTCTCTTCTGTTGTTCTCAGTTATTCGTCCTCCACAACGCGCATTTTCTCACTTCCCAGCATTCAAAGGCAGCCAGGTATGTTCTGATTACCAGCGCAGGAAGGATGGGCGTGAATTCAAGCTTTGTGTTTTGCGAGATTGGGCTGCTGTCTGGAGGTCAGGAAGGAGCAAAGTAACCATGGTTACTAAATTAAAAATCACAGCAACATTGTCTAAAAACATTCCTCTACATCACATGCCCACCCTGACAGTTTCTGCAAAACGTGCGCAGCAGCTCAGACAATGCAGCTTTTCTTTTAGTGGTGATGAGTTTACATCATCGTCTGTRGGAGAAACTGTCCACAAGGAGGAAAATTTGAACAAAAACAAGAGACTGACTGGATTATCAGAGATAAATGTATTTACCGTGTTCCGCAAAAACAACAGTGTGGTGTTATTACTGATGTTTTTGGTGATAATGACTGAAGAGATGAAACCGAGGATCTGATATAAAATAGATGAAAAATTGCTTCTCTTAAAACAGAAGACGACGTTAAAAATTTGGTTTTCTTTTTAATCTTTGCAGCCAACAGTTATTTTTATCTTTATAGAAGAGAGAAGTCATCCAAGGTTCACAATTTTATTATTGATTTTATGCTAAAGAGTCATGATTTTACTGGTTAACGCCAAACATTTACTAAGTATCAAACTAATATTAAGCAGGACCAAAGAACATAGCTTTTATTTTAAGTTTGAGAAAGAAAAGAAATGTTGAATCTAAAGGAAAGAAATGTCTGAAATAAAAAGGTGAAACATTATTTCTAATCATGAAGCTTCAGAATCATGACTTCAAAAATATCATCATCATCATCTTCATTATGACCCTGGAATGTGACGTGGGGTCATATTGTTTTGTTTATTTTTTATTTTTTTTTTCAGTTATTTTTGGTAGCACAGAAACAGCTGCACAGATCAACATGAAGATTGGCAGGACTGTAGATGAGTCCCACCTACACTGTGCCAGCCAACAGTTTTATGATAAACCTCATATTTGAAGTGGGGGCTCCATCTAAAAAAGGGGGTGTCTGGACATACAAAAATGCTTATAACTTAAAAATTGTTCAACATAGGAGCTTCAGATTTTGTTGTTGTTTTACTCTGGTGAAGGGCTATCCACACACCCACCACTAAGCCCCCCAACCCCTCTGAACCCCCACCCAAAACAATAAATCTGTTCTGGGTTCTTGTGTATTGGTGCTTTGCATTCGTGCACAAGTGCTACCACTATCTTGTTATTATTATTAAGGACATGTAACTCTGTCATAAAGACACAATCCATTTCAATTTCCTATTAAAATTACCAAAGATAATCAAGTTTGGAAAACACAAGTAGTATTTTTTGTTCTTAATAAGGTTATTTCCTCAAAGCTTCTAGCTGAAAACTAAAAACAATGGATGATCAACAGCGAAATAGTGAATCTCATGTCCTGTTTTAAGGTGACAGATTCTGTCCACCTGCTACAGACACTTCTCCTCTCGTCCTTAACTTTTCTACTTGCTTCATATTTAAACACAAATAGCACAACATACTGTCATGGTCAGGCACAAATACTGACAATGAGTTCAAAAGCAGACAAAATCCTAAGAAGATCCCTGAAACCTTCAGGAAGAATGAAGAACTGCTAAGTTTTGCTCACTAAAAACAAAGAATAAAGGAATTAGAAGTGGCTTAAAGTCTTTTAAATACTTAGTAAAACATTCCTATAGATGGACATTTTTGCAGACAGTGTTTCACTTCCTCTACATCCCCAGAATCCAAGAAAGTTCCACAGATGGTGAGTGTGTTTTTTAATAACTGGACCTTCAGGTCAGTGAGTGATCCTCCTGCACAGAGACAACTCAGAGTCTGACTCATTCTGATTGTTTGAAGGCAGAACACATTCAGGTGGTGAGAGTCTGAGAGAACAAAAAAAAAACTGCAACAAAAGAGAATGATTCTGGATGATAAATCATTTCTTCCCTCAGGCTCAGGCTGTCCGGTCAGCTCGATGCGCTTCCTGTTCACCTGCAGCCCAACGAGCATCGAATCAGACTTTACTCTTTCCGACGAAAGGATGACTATTTCTTACAGAATCCTAAATTCTGCTTTTAAAACCATCCTTTAACC